AAGGTAAAACATTCTTCCCTGATCGGAAGACGGGAACATCCCAATGTGGATATGCGACGCTGGATGCACGAATGTCAATCGCCAGCGCGCGCGCGGCGGAACTCGCGCGGCGGCGGCATGCCGCTGACAGGTTTTTATACAACGGGAGCCAGGTTGAATTCCAAACCCAAAGGCGAAAACCCAATGTAAACATTCATTTTCTGGTCGGAAGACAGGGGCATCCCCGCGTGGATATGCGACACTTGATGCAAACATGTCAAGAGCCAGCGCGCGCGGCGGCGGCTGCATGCCGCTGGTAGGCATTTCACAACAGGGCGAAATGTCGCGCGCGCGGCGGCGGCGTGTCGCTGGTAGATTATATACATCGGGTGCGATGTTTACCCCCAACACCCAATGGCGAAAACCCAATGAAAAAATAATTCCCTGATCGGGAGACGGGAACATCCCAATGTGGGTCTGCGACACTGAATGCAAACGTGCAAATCGCCAGCGCGCGCGGCGGCGGCGCGCCGCAACGGGGGCGATGTCGCACTCCAAAACCCAATGGCGAAAACCCAATATAAACATCCATTCCCTGATCGGAAGACTGGAACATCCCAATGTGGACATGCGACATTGAATGCAAACATGCCAATCGCCAGCGCGCGCGCGGCGGCGGCATGCCGCTGATAGATTTGACGCAACGGGAGCGATATTGAACTCCAGAACCAAATGGAAAACAACACATAAAGGTAAAACATTCTTCCCTGGTCGGAAGACGGGAACGTCCCAATGTGGATATACGACGCTGAATGCACGAATGCCAATCGCCAACGCGCGCGCGGCGGCGGCGTGCCGCTGATAGACTTTTAGACAACGGGAGCCATGTTGAACTCCAAAGCCCCATGTAGAAATTCATTCTCTGATCGGAAGACGGGAACATCCCCATGTGGATATGCGGCACTGAATGCGCACATGCCAATCGCCGACGCGCTCGCGCGCGCGCACGCGTTGAAATCCAAAATCCAACGGCGAAAACCCAATGTAAAAATGCATTCTCTGATCGGAAGACGGGGGCATCCCCGCGTGGACATGCGACGCTGGATGCGCAAATTCCAATCGCCAGCGCGCGCGCG